GACTGACCCCCCCCGCCTCCTGCACCCCGACAACCACCATTCCATTTCTCGTCTCTAGGCATTAGACTGCCTAGCTACCTCAAATCAGTGGAAACATGCAATATGTGTCTTTTTGTGTCTGGCTTATTTCTCTGAGCACAATGTTCTCAAGGTTCATCCGTGCTGTTGTAGGTTTGTTTTATATAAAAATAACCGCAACACCATCATAAACCATTACGAAACATATTCCTCCCCCAAGCCCCAACATAACATACTCCCAATCTTAAAGTGGCTGTTCCCCAAATCTGTGCCTTGTGTATTCCGTGTCTTTCGGTGTCCCCAAGACCACATGCCCCACTTTGAGAAGCACATCCTTCCCCACTCTGGCCACACGTGCGGCCCCCTCACAGCTGGACTTCAGGGTCTGTGCTGAGTGGTGGCCTGTGTGTGTGTGTGTGTGTGTGTGTGTGTGTGTGTGTGTACATGCGAGCACACCACCCACCATCTCTCTGCTACCCTCCTTTGTTCTCAGCCCCTGGGGCTGTTGATTCTTGGGAATTTTTCATTTTAGCATTTTTTTTTTAAATTTACACTAATCCATTGTCTTCCTTTTAAAAATGAAGAAACTGCCATGCAGGAAGGTTAACTTCCAGATGTGTCCCAGCCAGTAAGTGGAGATGCCAGACTCCAATCCAGGCCTGTGGACCGCACAGACTCACGCCTTCTCCAACCCCACCATCTCCCATGCTCCCACATTCATGGCCCCACCCGTGATGGAATTCAGCAGGCCACCGGCTTCTGTCACCGCCATTAACATTGTGTTAATGTCGTGAACCCCATTTGTAGTTATGTCGTGTTTAATTTTTACAGGTCTACAATCCCTTATTTGCAGTTATGAAATTCAGAAGACTCAGAAAACTGAAAATTTTCTCCTAAGTTTGTAAGACCTGGCCTGAACTCGCGTGAAGCTATTTAGTGTCTCAATTTAGTCTGTTTAGGTGACTATTTATATGTTTTGCTGCAGAGCTATAAGTGTGTGTGGTTTTGTTGTTGCTTTTGGTTGGTTAGTTTTGATTAAAGAGGGCTTCCCAACTGTCCTGGAGGTCATATATCATATGCAGTTTCGTAACTTCTAAGAGCTGAAAAATGCTCAATCCTGAAACACATTTGGCTCCAAGAGTTTCTAATAAAGAATTGGGACCTAGATATATATAATAGGTTTTTATTTATTTATTTATTTATTTATTTATTTTTAAAGATTTTATTTATTTATTTGAGAGAGAGAATGAGAGACAGCACGAGAGGGAAGAGGGTCAGAGGGAGAAGCAGGCTCCCTGCTGAGCAGGGAGCCCGATGTGGGACTCGATCCCGGGACTCCACGATCATGACGTGAGCCGAAGGCAGTCGCTTAACCAACTGAGCCACCCAGGCGCCCCTATATAATAGGGTTTTAAAAGCTGTAAAAATAAAAAAGCTCAGACCTAGTTTTATGTCTATATACCTTTAAGTGGTGTTATACTCGAAAATAAGGGTCAGGATAACAGGTCCATAAATTACTGAAGTTAGAGAAGGCCCCCAGCCACAGCCCCCACCCCCACCAAAGTTAGTAGATTTTCCCTCCTGATTTAACTTGACTGTTGGGAAGTCCGTTTCTGAATTGAGAGGTGCTGGTCCTCTGACTTTCTGGGTAATGTTTCTAGGCCTTCGGCACAAGGCACAGAGACTTCTCAATTTCCGGGCTGAGAATTATCCAAACGCAGAGGCTGAAGCAGCAGAGGAGATAAGCAGCGCCCTGGGAGTGTGGTGGAGAGAGACCAAGAGGAAAGGATCCAAAAGCCTCAGCAGCTGGCCTGTGGGGGTCCCAGCCCAGGGCCCCTCTCTGGCAGCCGGCGGGGACAGCAGTGAGAGGCTGAGCCAGATGGGCAGGGTCTGCAGCGAGGGCATGAGGACTCGCCCTGTCTCTGCCACTATTGATCGGGGCACCGAGGCCACTGCCATTCAGCCACAGGAGGCCTGGTTTACTCTCAAGGCTGGGGCACCCACCCTGAATTCAGAGGGACCCTCTAGGCTGGTCCCACACCCCACACTGACCTTTGTGGGGGCCTGGGCCCTGAACCCCTCTCCCACTAGGAAACGGAGGGTGGGCAAGGCGGGGGCGCTCCTCACACCTGCCCCTTTAATGTCTTCAGGAGCTCATGCAGTTAGTTTCTGCAGAGGATACTGTAGCCCGATCCCTACAGTGCGTGTGCACGTGTGAGTGTGTGTGTTCCTGTGTGGAAGGAACGGGATGAGATCTCCGAGGCTGGAGCTGCTGGGTGGGAGCCACGCAGGACAAGTTTTCTGGAAAGCCCCCTTCTTCCCTCTGTGTGGTTGCTCTCCTAACTCTGCTCTCCTGCCCCAACTCCAGTTTCTTCGCATGGTCTCCCCCTCCCTTCTGGTGCCCTGTCCCAGGATCTGGATTGAGGATGGGGCAGATAGGGTGGGTCCGTCCGTGTCAGGCCTGATGCCACTGAAGAATATCCCAGGACTTGTTCTTTCTCTCCGGATGGCCCTGGTGTCTGCAGGAAGGGTCAGGGGGGCTCTATTTCTGTCCCAGCTTTGAGGATAAAACTCCCCTCCAAAGGCCAGGTGGCTTATCTTATGACAGCACTTGTCAGACATACTGAGCTTTGGACTTCTCACTCTCGTGGTCTTGCTTGGTGTTTCAAGGTCCTGCCTTGCATATGGCAGCAAGAGGGGGAGGAGAACAGATTAGTGTGGGATTTGGAAGCAGAGTCAAGTTGAGGGGCAGACTAAGAAGGAGCATTTAGCACTCCCCCCACCAACCTTCCCCCCAACTTTGACTCTGTCAAGGGAAATGGATATATGTGTGGGAGGGTGAAGAAAAGGTAGAGAAATGGAGAAATCCTCAAATGGGAAGTGTTCTTTTTCCTTTTGGATTCCTACTGGGCTGGGGCATAGTGGAAATATTTGAATATTCAGGTTGTAAGATTGTTTTATTCTAAATTCACACACAATGCTCCCATGCAACGCCCTCCCTACTAGAATGTGACCTCCCCAAGGGCAGGAAGAGGTGCATGTTGGAGCCCATGGCTTGGGAGAGCTGACCGCGTCTCTTCCCAGCCCTGTGGTTTGTGACTTTATCTTGGTAGCTTGAAAACCGACATTGAGTATTTACACCTTGGAAATTGATAAATGCTTTTTCTCCTCCAGAGAGCTGCTTGGTAAATGTATAGCAGCACTGGACAGGTCTCTCCCCAGCTTCTGGCAGCGGAGGCCCTCAAATGTTCAAGGAATGAGTAAACAACGACCAGAAAGAGAAGGAAGAAGAGAAGCAGCATTCTCTCTAAGTTCAGGTCCACAAACACCATGCGCTGGGTGCCGCAGGGAGATGGCAGAGATCTGTTTTCGGGGAGTAGCCCAGCATCTGAACGGGGTTCCCATCTGGGGAACCTGCCCATTCTTGTTTCTTAGGTCTTGGCAAACAGGGTGCAAGCATATTTCTGTTGGGGTTGGTATCTACAAAGACCATTCAGGCGATTTTCCAGGGGTGATACGGGTCAGTGTAACCTGCACGAAAGTGGTGGGGGCAGGAGCCCAGTGTCCAGTACGACGTTCCTAACCAGAACTGTCCCTGGGCCATGGTCTATGACCTTGGCAGGGACTGCAGCCCTTGCCTGTGCCCGATTCTCTAGCCTTCCTGTCAATTCCATGAGTTCTCCATGTCCTTACTCTAAGCAATGCTTCTGTTTAAGTGAACTACCTCTTTTTCTGTGCATTGCAACCAAGAACCCTGTGTGTCAGGTCCGATTAGATGTGCAAGAGATCTATTAGGGGAAACGCTGCGAAGATAAGCAGGTGGGAGCAGGAACAGGGCTGGCCTTCAGAACATGATGCAGCCCGATGTGTGGCAACTGGATGCTGTCATCAGCCGTGCTTCCTGCACTGTGCTCTCTTGAGGGACATCCTCACGGCTGCCACCAACCTCTGGTACAGGGCACAAGGTGGGGGGTAGGGGGGACGACATATCCCTGACCTTGCAAAGTCCACAGTTGAGAGGGAGAAAGAGAGACAAATGTATCACTGCTGCTGTTCCAAATTGCAAACCCCGCGCTGCGGGAGCCCAGAGGCAGGCGGACGGGAAGTCTTCCTGGAAGTGGCGCATCCTGGGAGCCCTGAGGTTTTGCCTTCTCCCTTCTCTGTCCAGTTTTCCATCCCAACCCAGCCTGACAAAAAGATCTGACCCCTTATTTCTAGGTGGTGTCCCCAGATCTGCAGTGTGCAGAGGTGATCTGGATGTACGGAATCCAGGAACTCACTTTGGCGCTTAGTGGGCACTTTAGAGAAGCGCTGACTCCCCTACGCTACCCTCTGTGGGAGGCTCCAGGGAGCAAGCTGAGGCTTAAGGTGACCTGACTTTCCTAAATTCACACACTACGAGAAGCAGAACAGTTTCCCAATCTAGGTGTGTCTGCCTCTGAGGGCTGTAGTCCTTCTGCCCCCCCCCACCTCCAGGGGCTACTCAGCCCCCCAGGTGGAAGGGGGTGTGTCTGGTGCCGCCAGGGAGTGGGGTGGGGCCAGTGCAGAGGGAGGGGATTTCCAATGAGAGGGAAGGTCGCCCACTTTTTCCTGGAATCTTCTTTCTTTCTCACCAGTTTTTTTTTTTTTTTTTTGTAGGTACACTGATCGCGCACACCAGCTTTCGGCGCGGAACTCACCACGTCCCTCCGGGGTAGCACAACCTGAGGCTTGGAGAGGAGGACGACGTGCCTAAGCCAGGAACTGATCGGGCCTTGCTGGTGGGTCCAAGGCTGCCCCTTAGCACTGTGTGTGGGCGCTGCCTCCCCACCCTTGGGGGCTTCTTTGCAGCGGGGGTGGGGAGTAAGAACTCGTGGGCCGGGGTGTCTGAGAAGGGCGCACTGAGGAAAACAGGGACAGGCCAGGAAGGAAGGTGGGGCCTGGGCTACCCAGCCCCCCTAGCAGAAGCAGCAGCTTCCTCCTCCTTTACGGGGGACCTTTGACCAAGCTCAGAAAATTCTTGGCTTACCGGGGGCAGGGAATGGGGCTTCTTGAATGGAAGAAGCTATTTTCCTCTTTTACACAGACTTTGGGTAATTCCACTCCCTTTTCTCTGCCAAGCTTTATCTTTGCCTAAGAATTCGCACCAGTCCCCAGGGCCCCCTACACAGCTGCAGCTGTTTCTCTCTTCATTGATGGGTAAGAAATGGGGCAGATTTAAAACGCTTATGTTGTTGTTGTTGTTTTTAAAGATTTTATTTATTTAATTGACAGAGAGAGACACAGCGAGAGAGGGAACACAAGCAGGGGGAGTGGGAGAGGGAGAAGCAGGCTTCCCGCAGAGCAGGGAGCCGATGCGGGGCTCGATCCCAGGACCCTGGGATCATGACCTGAGCCGAAGGCAGACGCTTAACGACTGAGCCACCCAGGCGCCCCCTAAAATGCTTATGTTTTAATAAGCATTTTGTCTGAGTATCAGTGACAGCTTAGAGAAATGACCTACAGGAGCTGGGAGGTCTGAACAAGGGGTGGGCTTCCCGCTGGTGACTTTCCTCTGCCCCAGTGGAGGCCTGGGGCTGGCCTGGGGAGGGCCTGGGGAGGGCCTGGGCAGGGCCTGGGGCCGGCCTGGGGAGGGCCTGGGCAGGGCCTGGGGAGGGCCTGGGCAGGGCCTGGGCAGGGCCTCCACTGGGGCAGTAGGCAGTGCTCAGGGTAAGCAAAGGCCTAAATGCCTAAGAGGATGAGGGAAAGGGACCAGCCCCGTGACCTCCCCACCTCCCATGATTGTCAGGTCCCAAACAGGATGGCAGGCAAGAAGTGCCTTTGTTGAGAAAAAGGACAACAAGGAAAGGAAATTCAATTGATCCCATTTATTGAGCCCCTACCTTGATCCTACCTAGTGCCCTGGGCTCAGGTGATGGGGAGATAAAGATTCATCCTCAGTTTACAGCTGAGTCCGGGAGGCTCAGATTCCCACAGAGCGATGCACCATAAACCACTGAAGACAGGGACGGAGACTGAGGGAGCCCGGTGGGCACCGACTCTGCCTGCCATGGTGTGGGGAAGGCTTCTAGAAGAGCCGACGTTTGGCCAGGGTCTTGAGGGATGAGTAGGGGTTTCCAAGGTAGAGTGGGCTTCCAGAGTGCATTCTCAGCAGTGGCAAAAGCTGGCTAGGAGGGTAGGAAGCAGCAGCGTTATGTGTGGAGAAACTCAGCTGTGGCTGAAGTTCGGGCATGCCTTGGAAATAGTGCAGGTTTGGTTCCAAACCACTGCAATAAAGTGAATATTGCAAGAAAGTAAGTCAAATAAATTTTTTGGTTTCCCAGTGCATATAAAACTTATGTTTACATTACACCGCAGTCTATTAAATGTGCGATAGCATGTCTAAAAAAAACAAAAAAATTTTTAAAGTAAACTGTATGCCCAACGTGGGGCTCAAACTCACAACCCCTGAGATCAAGAGTCCCACGCTCTACCCACTGACCCAGCCAAGCGCCCCTAAAAAGACAATTTTTCAAATTAAAAAATACCTCACTGCTGAAAAATGCTAACCATCATCTGAGCTTGCAGGGCATCATAACCACTGATCACCATGAAAAATTTTGAAATATTGCAAGAATTATCAATATATGACAGAGACCCGAAGTGAACAAATGCTGTTGGAAAAATGGATGCCAACAAATTTGCTCCAGGCAGGGTTGCCACAAACCTTCAGTTTGTAAAAGATGCAATTTATCTGCAAAGCGGAATAAAGCCAATCAGAAAAAAGCCCGCAAAATCCCAAAACAACCAACCCCAGGAGGCCAAATAGAGTGAGGTCTCCCTGTATAGAGTTCCAGGGTGTTAGAGGAGCAGAGAGCCCGACACCGAGGTGTGTTGTGAGTTAAGAGGGGCATGGAGGGGGGATGATACAAAGGTGGGTGACTGCGCGCCTGGGTGGCTCAGTTGGTTAAGCGACTACCTTCGGCTCAGGTCATGATCCTGGAGTCCCGGAATCGAGTCCCGCATCGGGCTCCCTGCTCAGCAGGGGCTCTGCTTCTCCCTCTGACCCTCTTCCCTCTCGTGCTCTCATTCTCTCTCTCTCAAATAAATAAAATCTTAAAAAAAAAAAAAAAGGTGGGTGACTTAGGCACAGAGGAAATGGGACGGGGTGGTGACTGGTGCCCGCCCAAGAGAGGAAACACAGAGTGGAGGGCAAGCCAGGCCCTGGCACAGACCCAAGGGGATGCAGCACCGGCCACTGTGGGGGCCGCTCCACTGGGATTGGGGATGGGTGTCTGCAGAGCCGGGTGGGGGGAGTTGGGGTGGGGAGGCAGCCAGCCAGCGGCAGGGAGAGAAAGTCCAACCTCCGCAGGCGTTCCGCGTCGCCAGGCCAGCCTCCCATTCCCAGGGCGGGCACCGACGGAGCGGCACTGCGGGTCCTGCGCGCCCGGAGACAGGTAGGAAAGCCGAGGGACCGGGACCCGGCGGCAGGGGCGGCTCGGCCCGGGGCTGCTACAGGAACGGCCCCGCCCGGCCCGCGGGCAGAGACGTGCCGGAGGAAGTGGGGGATCCCCGGGGAGACCCCGCCTCCGGCTCTGTCAGCCAGGTCACCGCTCCGCACCGCGCGCCCTCGCGCGGGGCTGGGAGGTCACCGGCGGGCAGGAGAAGCGGGGAGGTACGGGGTCTCGTGCTGGGCAGCCGGACGCGACCCCAGGCCCCGCGCCCACGCCGCCCGCCCCCTCGGACCTAGTCTCGGTGGGACGCGGTTCCCGCGCCAACCGGGCACCGGGCTCCGCAGACCGAGCGCGCCCCCCTCCGAGGTGCCGCCAGGGCAAGCACGTGCCGGGTCGCCCCGGCGCCTCGCGTGGGAAGCGCACCTTTCCGCTTTCGGGGGCTGCACCGGGCGCGTTCCCGGGCGGTTGGAGGGGTGTGGGGCCCGTCCCCGAGCTGGGCGTGCGGGCCGCGGGCGCCTCCTCGTGACCGAAGCCGGGAAGATTCCTGAGTAGGGGCCGGACGGGGAAGGGCTTCGCGCCGGCCTCGGGCGTCCGGGTGTCCGTCGGGGGCGGTGCGGGGATGCGGCGCCGGGCGCTCAGGGACCCCGAGCGCGGGTCCGGGACCAGCACCCGCGAGGAGGCGCAGACCTGCTCGGCCGCGGAGCACCCCCCGGCCGCTGCTTCGGCCCTGGTCAGGCCCCGCCGCGTTCCTCGGGGACACGACGTGAAAGGAGCGCACACTGCCGGCCGGGGGCGCAGCGGGCCGGACCCTCGGGCAGCTGGGGGAACCCCGCAGGGTAGTCCGGGGGGGGGGCCCAGGACCCAGGGCTGGCCCTGGAGTTGGACAGTGTCTTGTTTCTGTTTTTCTCCCAAGTGAATTGAAATAACCTTTCTGACTTTCGGGACTTCGGGATTGCAGCTGGGGGTCTTGATCTAGTGCAATTGTAGCAGTGGTGGTAGAACCTAGTAGCAATTATAAGTACAGTCTTTTCTCCAGTCTTTCCCTTGGCTCTGCTCGCCTCCGTTCCTAAAGGCGGTCTCCTTTAGAGAAGCATCCCTTGTCGCTCATCTTGTCATTGGTCCTAAAACCCGGGCCTCCCCTCTCCCACGCTGCCCTTACAGGAGCTGCGGGCGCAGAGCAGAGGTCGGTGGGGGTGGCGACGTGTGGGTGAGGAGGCGGCACCCCCCTCAACCCCCCCCCACCTGCTAGCCCCAGAAACCTCTGATTTGACTGTGAAAATGACTAAATGAATCACCGTTTGTGCTAAATTAACGAAGCATGTACGTCGCTAAATGTGCCAGGTTAAAATTTGCTGAACTTGGCTTAGTATGCTGTTTTGTCCTTGCAAAATGAAGTCATTTTATAATTAAAAAATTTATAACATTGGTAGATTACAGATTTTTAAATTTAAACGTACAAGTCAGTACTTGTTTAATGTTTCATACTGAAGGAGCATATTGCTTATGTCATTCTCCAATACGATGACATGTACACACATGCACATATGCACGTGCTGTGCACGGACAGAACAGCACAGTGCACACACACCCTCCTTGCACACTCACGCCGCACTGCACACATACACTGTGTACACGCACATGCTACATACACCTCCTTGGACCTGTGCACACACTACATTCCTCCTGCAGAGTCATCCAAAGCCTGCACACTCAGACACCACACTGCATGTACACACACACACACACACACACACTGGTTACAGAATCGACTTGTGGAGTTTTCTTGTGCAGAGAAATGCTGGCTTGCATTTAAAGTAGGATACAATTGACGTTTTTAAAGCATTTGAGTTTTAAAAGCATCTTCCGAGAGTTTCTTTAAAAAATATATATATTAACGGGCGCCTGGGTGGCTCAGTCAGTTGAGTGTCTGCCTTCGGCTCAGGTCATGATCTCGGGGCCTGGGATCGAGCCCGGCATCGGCCACCCTGCTCAGCGGGGAGTCTGCTTCTCCCTCTCCCTCTGCCTGCCTCTCCCTGCTTGTGCGCGCTCGCTCTCCATCAAATAAATAAAATCTTTTAAAAATGTTATTTTTTTAAAGATTTTATTTATTTATTTGAGAGAGGGAATGAGATAGAGATAGCATGAGAGGGGGGAGGGTCAGAGGGAGAAACAAACTTCCTGCTGAGCAGGGAGCCCGATGCGGGACTCGATCCCAGGACTCCAGGATCATGACCTGAGCTGATGGCAGTCGCTTAGTCAACTGAGCCACCCAGGCACCCTAAAAAAATTAAGTTTAAAAAAAACTGGTATAACGGCTTTTAAAAAACGAATCTTTTGCTAAATTAAAACCCGTGAGACTGATTGCTTTGATTCTGAACCTGTCCTTCAACAACAAGTATTTTTAATTGCCCTCTTTTTTCCCCTTTGAAATCTTGAAAGAAGGTACTCTTGAACTTTTAGGAGCCAATAGTAGGCGGGCCTTTTGTCCCCCACGTGAGTGCCACGGCCCACTGAGCCCCGCGGCGTTCCCGCTCGCCCTTCTGCGGCTCTGCGGTCACGGGTGGGCAACGCGGACGGAGGGACGCGCCCCTGCCCGCAGGACCGCGGACCGAGCCCGGGTCCCTGCCCGCTCCAACTCTGGCCTCTCCCGCAGGCCGAGATGCGGCTGCTCCTGTTCGTGCCCCTGCTGCTGGCCCCGGCGCCCGGGTCCTTGGTGAGTGCCGCCCTGCTCGCTGCTCGCCTCCCCCACCCCCGCTCCCCGCGGCGAGGGGAAGTTGGTGGGAGAAGGCGAGCCCTGGGACCCCCCCAGCTCTTTCAGAAAAAGGGGTGCAGCCTTGAAGCGGTCTGACCAAGGGGCCCAGAGCTGCCCTCCCCGCTGCAGGACGCAGTGCACAGGACTGGCAACTTCCCACCGCCGTCCACCTTCCGAAGGTGCTAGGTGCACCCTAATGCTGGGACCCCCCCCTCCCCGGGGTGGCCTTCCAAGGTGGAAGGAAAGGGAGGGGGCGGTGCTGGCACCAGCCAAAGTGCAGGGCTAGATGGCCCATCCCATCATCTGCTGGGACCCAGTTGAGCTGCCCCTCACCTTGACTGTGCTTAGAGGTGCCCCCGCCGTGGGGCTTTAGCTCTAGATGGAGCAGGGATGGCCAATAGAACTTTCTGAGATGATAAAAAATGTTCTAAACTGTGCTGTCCAGTAAGATAGACACTTGGTTCTGTGGCCACTGAGTCCATGAAACATGGTTATTGCCACTGAAGAATTACGTGTTTGATTTGATTTTAATTAACCTAAATAGCCACATGTAGCTAACCGTTACCACATTATAGTGCAGATTTGGAGAGTGGACACAGGAGCCAACTGGTGATCAGAGTAGCTGTTTTGTTAACGGGGCACAAAAGACGGGGCTCCTTGGAGAACAAACCTGGATCCTGAGGTTATACAAGAAGTCTTCTAGAAGGCAGGACCCACCTCTGCGGAGGGGAGGGTCCATAGAGGTGGGCTTTGTCCTGGATGCTGCTCCTGGCATTGACAGAATGGAGGGCACAGAAGCAGCCGGGTCCCACCCTGCCCCTGGAGAGCTCTTCACAGGGGCAGTCCCACAGCCCTGCCCACCCCTCTGTGAGGCAGGCGGTCCTTGGGGAAGGCAAGGGAGATGCCACACTGTGGAGTGTGAGTCAAGGATGAGAAGGGCTGCAGGGGCAGGCCGAGATGGACATCAGTGGTGCTCGGTGGGCAGGCCTTCAAAGCTCTGCTGACCCAGCACCAGCCACAGTCAGAGCGGCAGGTGGGCTAGAGCCCCCCTTTCTCATGTCCTCTCCATCACCTGCCAGCTTCCCAGTCACCCCTGCCACCCCGTGGTCCTTGAGGTCCCTGGCACAGGCTTTCCCTGGTGCCCAGGTGGAGGGGCCGTGGTGCCAGTGTCAGGACCCCAGCAGGAAACCCAGGGCCACCCCCTAACTGCTGCTTGACCATAGCTTGACAAGCCTGAGATTCCCTTTCCCTGGGGGGTTATAATCCCCATCCCCAGGTTACTGTGCAGGTGGAATGAGTCAAGGAGTACAAATTGCCCTGGGTCCTCTTAGGTGCTTTCTGCCGAAGAAACAGCTGAGTAACCTTTCCCGGCGCCTTCCTCCCCACAGCACGTGAGCTCAGGTGGGGCCGTGAGCTCTCCTGCGCCCACGCCACAGCTCAGCTGCCCCCTCTTGCTGGCTCTGGCTGGGGGCCGAGCCCCCGCAGGGTCCCTCTGAGTGCCCACAGCGGGGAGGGAGGAATGAAGGGCAGATGCAGCCGCCCGCCGACCCCGGCCTCACCTCCCCGCACCCACCCCCGCACAGGGCGGCCGGGGAACAGCACAGCAGGAAAGAGGGCCCCAGGTTGCCTTGCAGGGTGCGGGGAGTCGGAGGAGGAGGGGCTGGGTGCGGAGGGCGGCAGGAGCAGGTGCGAACAGGCCAGCGGGAGGGCGGGCTGACTGAGCTCATTCTGGCGCCACTCCACCAGCTCGCGGTTTGGGGAATCACAGAGGGACAAAACATGCCTGTGCTGCCTGTGGCTGAAGCCAAATGTGCGTTCTTTCCTGGGAGAGACGGTGTGGAGGGGATCCCGCTCGTACCCCCTGCCCCCCACAAGTGGATCTCTGCCTCGCGGGTGCTGGGTACAGGAGGCCAGGGCGTGTTTGTGAGGCTCTCAGCTCCTCATGCTGAAAGCTGGTTGAGTTTGTAAATGAGTGTTTGGGGCGCCTGGTGTTTGCTCTGGTAGAGAGAATCCCAGGCTCCCAAGGTGAGGGAGGGCAATGATTTTAGGCAGGGGCCCTCTGGTGAGCCCGAGGGGGCTCTGAGTGCCGACTCACACTTCTGAGCGTGTCTTTTCCTCCAGGCTCCCAAGGTGAGGCGACAGAGTGACACCTGGGGCCCCTGGGGCACCTGGAGCCCCTGCAGCCGGACCTGCGGAGTGGGCATCAGCTTCCGGGAGCACCCCTGCTTCTCCCAGAGGTAGGGGAGGCTGGGCGGGGCCAGCTTGTTAGAGGACAGGGGGCAGGCTGGTCAGGGGCAGCCGGTCCTGGGCCTGGCAGAACCCACCGAACCATGGGTTTGTTGTGAGAGCAGCATGGATGGAGTATCAAGTCATTTCCCACCAGTCTCTGATTCCAACAATCAGCCTTATTTCAGGAGAGCTAGAGCTGTGCCTGCTTCCCCACCCCCGGGTCTCTAGTTCCCAGTGCTGTGTCTGGCATGTGGCAGGTGCAGTAAATTCTTGGTGAACGAATGAACAATCTTCAATGCCTACCCTGTGCAGTTTCTCTCCCTTTGGCCTTTTTGTTAAGTATAGACGTCTCCCGCTTTAAGTGAGGTATTAAGCACCTACTGTGTGCCCTGCACTCTGATAGGTGCTAGAGGAGGGTGGGGCACAAAACAAGGGGGGTGGTGACCCTTTGCCTGTCAATGGGTTGAACTCACTCTTCCGGGGAACCTCGTGTGAGGACAAGAACCATGAGCTATTGCTCCAGCCACTGTATACTCCTTAAATGGCAGAATGACCTTACCAGGTGGGTATACATTACATCTTATTTTATCTCCAAAGGCAGAGTTTGGGTCTTCTCTGGAAATTTGCTTTAAGAGGCAAGGTAGCCCCGAGTTAAAGGAACTCCAGGATAGACTTCTGAGTCTGGCTTTTCCAAGTATAAACACGGGGCTCATTGTCCCTACCTGAGCGGATCTGTGTGTGTGGCCACCCCTCCTCTGCCCAGCGTGGCCTGCAGGAGAGCCCTAGGAGCGGGGGGGTGTTGGTTCGCGGGGTTCGGGTCTTCCCAGTGCTCTCATCCTCAGGAGAGATGGAGGCTCCAGCTGCGTGGGCCCCGCCCGGAGCCACCGCTCTTGCCACACGGAGGTAAAGCCCCCAGGGTGGGGACGCCAGCTTCTGGGACCCCCTACCTTCCTGACCTCCCGGTCCCCGGGGCATCCTCCCGCAGGTGCACCCCCCTGCCTTCCTCACTTCCCACCCAGAATGACAGCCTCCCCTCAAGCAGCCCAAAGCCCCTGCAGGGGAGAGCTCAGGAACCCTGGGGGCCCACACCCCCGTCCTGAGCTGCTGGGGTGAGGGGGAAGCTGTTGGTGGGGATGGGACAGACCTCCCCAGGCGCAGTGGGGCAGGTGGAGGCCCCACCTTTCCCGCTGGCCCCCCACAGAGCTGCCCCGCGGGCACCAGGGACTTCCGGGCTGAGCAGTGTTCCCAGTTTGACGGCCAGGACTTCCAGGGAAGGCGGTACAAGTGGCTGCCCTACTATGGAGGTGAGTGGAGGTCCCAGCGCCCGCAGCCCTGCTGCTGCACCCTGCCTTGTCCTGTGTTGAGCCCCACCCATTCGGATCTCTTCTGTATGTTGACTTTCCATTGCACAACGCTTACACCATATTATAGATGCTCTGTCAAATGTCTTTTAAAAACTCACAGGACTCCCAGCAGGTGCTCATCGTAATATAACGGGGTGGGGGGGTGGTCATTTTGAGGTCTCTCCATCCTTCTTTCCCTCTGTACATTCTCAAACAAAGCCACCAGGCCATGTCTGTGCCATTCTGAGCCCTGCTCTTTTGGCCTGCTCTGGAAGCATTCCTCATGGTGCACAGAGGTCCTCATGATGTGCAGGGGCCACGGGGAGGAGGGGCGCTGGTAGGGCCAGGCCAAGTTTGGGCCAACTGCAGGTCGGGGCTGCAAGGGGCTTGGTATGGCAAGGGTCCATTTACTCAGGATCTCTGGGGCCCAAGGGCTTGCTCTGAGTGGCTTTGAGGAGGGTGGTTAATTTTTAGAGAAATCTAGTTTAAGAAAAAAACACTTGTGTATAACTAAAGCATTTTAGATGAGTCAGAAGATTCCTTAGGCTACCCCTTCTGAGTATTAGTAGTCACTGCTCATTGCAAATGACTCCTGGATAGTATGGCACTCTGGCTTCCAAATCAATGAACATTTATATCCTGTGTCTGCTATTGGATGGGGAACACGGTCTTGGCTAGAGGGGTGACCGCAGGGGAGTCTGTTGGCATTCATTGCTCCTCCTGGATAATTTAAATATATCCATATATTTTTTAAAAAAGATTTGAGAGAGCATGCATGCTTGTGTGCGGGCAGAGGGAGAGGGAGAGGGAGAATCCCGAGCAGACTCCACGCCCAGTGTGGAGCCCGATGTGAGGCTTGATCCCACAACCTGAGATCACGACCTGAGCTGAAATCAAGAGTCGGATGCTCAACCAACTGCACCACCCAGGGGCCCTAAATATATCCATAGAGAAAAACCAGAACATAGAGGAAAGGGTCACAGAGCGATGCCTTCTCTGTGGTGGAGGTGACTGCACTCCTGTTAGCACTTTTGGCTGTTTAAACAATGTGTATATAATATTTAGATGGCTATAAAATTTAAACCCCTAAATGACCTTGACCCCACACCTTTCATAGGATTTGGTCTAGTATTCCAGTCTAGCCCTTTTCACATTATTTTCTCTCTATCCACACTTACATATTTGTAATTATTCCATAGCCCCATTCTGCGCTGTGTGGGAGAAGCATCTCCCCATGTTACTGTCTAGTCCCTGTACTTTACAGCATAGCCCACATGCATAGTGGTCTATTAATAACTGACTCAGAGGAGCTGATCATTAACACACGGGCTTATTATAAGGCTGAGATAGACCTTTCCAAGGGGCTAGCTTCTTCCCTATCCTGGGATTTTTCATCCACTTGATCCCCAGAGAGGCCGCAGTTTTGTGAATGGTTGCTTCCCATGGGGGGCGGGGTGGGGTGGGGTGGGATTCTGAGCCACCTGGGAGAGCCGATGCAAGGACTTTCTGTCCCCCCTCGCCCCCCACTTGTGTGCTTCTGGCCCCCGCCCATGCTTCATTGTGCCCAGGATACGACTTGCAGTTTGCTTGGGATCTCAGCTTTCCCCTTTGTCTGCCTCAGCCCCGAACAAGTGCGAACTGAACTGCATTCCCAAGGGGGAGAACTTCTACTTCAAGCACAGGGAGGCTGTTGTGGACGGGACGCCCTGTGAGCCTGGCACCCGGGATGTCTGTGTGGATGGCAGCTGCCGGGTGAGTGGTGATCCTGCCCACCCCGCCCACCTGGGGGCTGGCCTGGGGCTTACTGCCGGATGTTTCCCTGCCCTGCACCAGCACGGCCAGTGGCTCTCCTGAGCTTGATGTCTTCTCATCAAGCTTTTAGGTGTCTCTGCATCACAGATGCCCTGCGTCCTTCTTCCCTTTGCCCTTTGGAAACTGGCGCCACTATAGGAGCAACCCTCTGGGTGGCAAGTTACAGAAACCCCACTAAAACTGACAAAGGGGAAGAAAGCCATCGAGGGGTGGGCTGGCTGGCTGCAAGGGGCTGGAAATGTCTCCTCCCCTCTGGGCTTTACTCTCCTCTGGGTGGGCACTGGGATCCTGTGAGGTGTGCAGATGGCCACCAGCAGTTCCCAGCTCTGGCTGGAAAGGATGCCCACTTCCCAGGAGTCCCAGCAACCTGGGGTTGCCTCGGCTTTGTCTTGGCTGGGGGCTTCCCGTGAACCACTCTCTTGGAGCAGAGCGTGGAACCCACTGACTTGCCCACACTCACTGTTGGGGAGCTCTGTCCAAACTGGGAGAGAGGAGGTCCCCAAAGGAAGATGAGGCATTGTTGGCAGAGAAGGGGAGACGGGCTGAGCCGGCGGAAGGTGTAGGCTGTCCGTGGCGGGCCAGATGCAGTGTTGACAGGCCTCAGTGGCTGATGAATAGCTACTGCCCCTCCCTGATTGGAGCAGCGACCTGGGTTTGAATCCTGACGCATCTGTGATGCCCTCTGCTCTCCCTTCTCCTCATCTCTGCCCGGTAGGTCGTCGGCTGTGACCACAACCTCGACTCCTCAAAGGAGGAGGACAAGTGTCTGCAGTGTGGGGGTGACGGCACGACCTGCTACCCCGTCACGGGCACCTTTGATGCCAATGACCTCAGCAGAGGTGGGAGTCCTGGGGGGAGGCACAGGCAGTTGAGGGGAGGGTCTGTCACCTGTCCCTTCCTTGCCTGACTTCTGTTCCAGCTGAGTCACCCTGGTGGCCCTGAGGGGGTCTGATCTGGCACTCAGGTCACAGAGCCTGTGGGCTTAGGCTCGTAAGGACCTCTGCCCATTTACCTGGTGTAAGCGCACCCTGCTGTCGGCTGGATGCCCCTCCTCGCCCCTTCCCGTGCGTCCCCAGCTGTCCCCCCACTTCCCAGTCATTTCGGGTGCCCCAGCCTGCCCACCCTTCCTAAAGCTGCTTCCCCCTTCTGGAGGACTCTGCCCTGAGCCCCCGAGCGGCACAGCCCTGCTGGGTTCCGCTTGCCAGTCCCTGATCCCGGCTGTGCTGCGAGGGGCGTGGGTGGTCCCAGAGCATCTCTGCCCCCGCAGGCTACAACCAGATCCTCATAATTCCCACGGGGGCCACCAGCATCCGCGTGGAGGAGGTGGCGGCCAGCAGGAATTTCTTGGGTGAGTGCGGTCTGGGGTGAGTCTGGGCCATGGCGGGGCGGCGGGTCCCTCTGCGGCAGCTCACCTGGTGCCTCACCCCTGTGCAGCGGTGAAGAGCGTGCACGGCGAATACTACCTCAATGGTCACTGGACCATTGGGGGCGCCTGGGCCCTGCCCGCGGCCAGCACCGTCCTGCACTACGAGCGCGGGGCCGAGGGGGACCTGGCGCCTGAGCGGCTCCTCGCTCGTGGTCCCACCTCTGAGCCCCTGGTCATCGAGGTGAGGGGCTGGTGGGTGGTGGCGGGGGGTGGGGGGAGACGCCCGGTCCTCCGGTGCCCCGGAGGTGAAGGGGGGAGGGTCCCCCTGGGGGGGGGCAGGTCTCAGCGAGGACCCTCCCGCACAGCTCCTCAGCCAGGAGCCCAACCCCGGCGTGCACTACGAGTACCACCTGGCCCTGGGCAGCCCCCGGCCCGGCTTCCGCTGGAGCCACGGCTCGTGGAGTGACTGCAGCGCCGAATGCGGTGGAGGTGAGCCATTTGCATGTCGTGGGGATCACGCGGGGAAACCGCAGGCCTCGGGGACTCCATGAAAGGTCCCCCTCACCCAACCCTGAAGCTAAGAGAACCAGAGGCTTCCCCGAGGTGGCGGAATCCCGGAGGAGACAGCACTTCATGGGCAGCAGAGGCCCAGCCCAGCGGGTTGACCAGGTGTCAGAGCAGGGCTCTAGCACCCTCAGATAACACCCCTCAAGCCTCAGTTTCCTCCTCTGTGAATTGGGGGTGATGATGGCACTCATCCCAAGGGGTCATCTGAGGCTTAATCAAGACGACACTTGAGATGTGTGCAGAATGGGGTCCAGCCCAGAGAATGCATTTGGTGACTGCTGACTGACCACCTGCCCTTGATGGCCGGGCCTCTGCAGGTCACCAGTCCCGCCCGGTGTTCTGCACCACTGACAACGAGGTATACCCTGACCACATGTGCCAGCATCAGTTGCGGCCGGCTGACCGCCGCCCCTGCAGCACTCACCCCTGCCCGCAGACCAAGCGGTAAGGCCCTTGCCAGCCCCTCCCCCCATGGTGGGGCCCAAACCCTTGGGTGGGAAGGCAGTGGGGTCTCTGGGCTACTCTAGGTGTTGAGCAAACAGCTCCCTACAGCTGTGGTGGAGTGGGGAGGAGGCAGCTGTAACGGGGGGAAGCAGTGGGATGGGGGGCATGAGCTCCTGGGCTATTCTGTCCACCTGTGTGTGCCCACTCAGTGTCCAGAGCGTCCAGGCTGATAGTGGGGGTGAGGGGGAAGTTACTAGAGGCCCTGTCCAAGCCGCCAGGGGACTTGGCTTGACAGATGCCAGGAAGTGGGCCAGGGACTGGGCCAGGGGGCCTGTGGGCATCCGCAATGCCTTTGTTCCCGCACGAAGGACCTCTTACCTGCACCGGCCCAGAGCATGGCACCTTGCTGGGGCCCAGCGTGTGTGCAGGAACAGGTAATCTGCAGGCCGCAGGCTCCCTGCCCGGCTGGTGCCGTCCTTCTGCCCTCCAGGCCTTGGTGGCATCTGGCCTTGCAGGATGGTGGTGGGCTTGGCTTTGCATGGTGCAGCTGGGCCTGCCCTTTCCTCCGGTGCCTCAGTGGGTGAGCATGGCCCCTCTGGGAGATGCCCCCAACTCACGTCAGACACAGAGGCAATGGAGTCTGGCTGGGGCTGACAGGGGACCTGGTGAGAACAGGGGATACAGGTGAGGACAGGAGCTAAGGGGGCGGGCAGCCAGGCTCTGTGTTGTAGGGACCGGTGCTCGGTGGTGGGAGATGGCAAGCAGAGCGGGGCGGGGGGTGGGCTTGGCCTTTTATGCAAAGCTTTCTGCCCCCCCCACCCGTACAGGCCCAGATGTTAGGATGGGCCAGGTTGGGGGGTCCCTAGTCCGCTCCTGTGTGTGACAGTTGGTGCTCCCTGGACTCCGGCCCTGCTGCTGGGCTGGCCTCACCGGATCCCTGCTCCCTGCCAGCTGGAAGACGGGGCCCTGGTCGCCCTGCTCGGCTTCCTGTGGTGGTGGCTCCCAGTCCCGCTCTGTCTACTGCATCTCGTCTGATGGGGCTGGCGTCCAGGAGGCCGCCGAGGAGGCAGAGTGTGCAGGCCTGCCTGGGAAGCCCCCCACCACGCGGGCTTGCCACCTGCAGCGCTGTGCAGCCTGGAGGGCAGAGCCCTGGGGAGAGGTGAGGCCTCTGCCCCATGGGGCTGGGGCAGGGTGGGGACAGAATCAGGCGCTGGGTCTAGGGACTGGGGTCTCAGCAGAGCTGGGCTGGGAAGCTTGGCCTCCACCGGAGGAAACAGGTCCTGGGAGGTAAAGTGACCTGCTAGGTCGTCTTGGAAGCCACTGTGGAGGCTGGGACTAGGAGCAGGTGTTTGGACTCCTCCTCCTCCTCCAGGATCCCAGGCGGGGCGGGAAAGCCTTTGTCTTGGCATGAAGGAGCAGCCGGGCGCCTTGCTTTGGGGGTGAGGGAGGAGCCAGCCCTGACTGGGGCTGCTGGTCACTGCATCCAGCACCTACATATGTTCAAGTCTCGAACAAGGGAATGTGTAAAATGTCCCTAAGCTTGGTGTCAGCAGGCGTGGTGTAGGCTACGTGACCTCAGAGGAGTGGCTCAGCCTCTCTGAGCCTGGGAGCTGGGCATGGGCCGTAAGGAGCTGTCCACCCTCCCTGCCAGGCGGGGCGGCCTCCAGCTGTCTGACCTGGCATGGCTCCTCTGGGCGAGGACAAGCTCCCGCCGACAGCCTGCTCCTTACAGTGCTCCGTCAGCTGCGGTGCTGGCGTCCGGAGGCGGAGCGTCACTTGCCGGAGTGATGAGGGGTCTCTGCTCCATGCTACAGCGTGCTCCTCGGAGGACCGCCCCCCCATCACTGAACCCTGTGTGCGTGAAGACTGTCCCCCCATCCATGACCAGGCCTGGCATGTGGGCGCCTGGGGCCTAGTGAGTGCTTGCCCACTTCCCCCCTCATCCCTGCTGCCCAGTCCTGGTCCCTTGGGTCTCTGGCAGGTGGCTGGACATGTGCCCATCCCTGGATCTGACCTGCCTCACCAGGCACCTTCCCCCCACCTTCCTTGTGGGGACCCCCAGCCTCGGGGTCTCTCTCCTTTGGTGAGCCCGTTCTCTCTTCCCACGCCCACCCTGTGGGCCCCAGTGTTCCAAGAGCTGCAGCGGGGGGACTCGGAGGCGCCAGGTCCTCTGTGCCCTCGGGCCGGCCAGCCACTGCGGGAGCCTGCAGCTGTCCAAGCCCGGGGAGGTGGAGCCCTGTAACTCACAGCCCTGCCATCTTCCTCCAGGTAAGGGCGGGGGTGTGGGTGCAAGGGGGAGAGGCCATGTGGGCCCCAGCTGTCTCCCCTGCGCCAGGGCCGCCCGCCCCCGGCAGTGCTCCCTCAGCAGAGTGCCCGTCTGTGCTGCCTCACGGGCCAGCCTGTTTGCCCAGCAGAGGCAGCATCCTTCTCGCACCCCCGGAGCCCACATAGCGGCCGTCCATCTCGGGTTGGTTTCCTTGGGCCCCAGCGATTGTGTGTGGCTTGTCAGGCCTACTGGCTAGGAGCTCCTTGAGGGCCAGGTCCCTGATTTCCTCTCTGCTATTTATACCCCCCCCCCCCCCCCCCAGAACTTAGCAACGAGCTGGGTATTCGGTAAATGTTTATTGAATGACTGAGTGAGTACACACTGTTCCTGCCCTTGTCTTTCCCTCCTCCTAACCCCCATCCCCACTGGCAAAGAAGACGTCGCAGGCCTGAGGAGCTGCAGGACGAAGGGCCCAGGGCCAGTACTTGCTTGGTGTGAGGATGTGATATTGAGGAAGAACGTGGGCTGGGGCTCAGCTGAGGGGGCTGGATGGTGGCCTTCTGCTACTACTGCAGGGAGGTGTGTCTGGCCCAGACGTGCTAGTGCTGGGGGCCCCATGAACCAGGATGGTAGAGTTCCAAAGGAGGCATGGGGCACGGTGGCTAAGAACCAGTGGCCTGAACTTGACAGCGAGCCTAAGTTGAAATCTCTACTCCATTGCTGACCAGCGGTGTGGCCCCGGGCAAGCGCCTCTCCTCCCTGATTCTCGATTTGCCCATCTGTACAATGGGGTTAATAAGAGTGCTTTTCTTACGGTGAGTTACTTGGCACTGTGTCTGAACACACAGAGCTTGGTAAGCAAAGCGTCGGGAGTGGTGGTGGTGAGGCCATGTGGGGGCCCCGGGGTCAGGCTCCTGGGGTGCCTCAGCCTGGCCTGGCCCTTGTGGGGCACGAGCAGGAGGTTCCTCCTGGAGCCATGGACGCCTTCCTGGAAGAGGTGGCCCTGAACCTGCCCCAGAGAGGCATTCACATAGGTAGCAAGGGAAGAAACAAAGCATTTCAGGCCAGGCTGAATTGTAAAAGAAAAAACCTTAATGGCTACTTTTATAAAATAATCTATGTTCATTGTGGAAAATTTGGAGAAATTAGGAAAGCAGCATAGAAATGGAAATTACCCTGATCCCATGCTTTAGTGGGATCAAGTCCTTAGTGGTCTTTGTCACATGTGCCGGATTCTCTGTGCGCTTTTCCCTGTTAGAGCTACTTAGTGTGTGAACATTTTTTTTTAAATATTTATTTATTTGACAGAGAGAGACAGCGAGAGAGGGAACACAAGCAGGGGCAGAGAGAGAGGGAGAAGCAGGCTCCCCGCTGAGCAGGGAGCCTGATGCGGGGCTCGATCCCAGGACCCTGGCATCATGACCTGAGCCGAAGGCAGATGCTTAACGACCGAGCCACCCAGGCGCCCCTAGTGTGTGAACATTTTTCAGCCTGATTTCTCTACAGAAGTCCATGATGGGTGGGAAGTTAGAATTTAGGTGGTTTTAGGGCGCTTGGGTGGCTCAGTCGGTTAAGCATCTGACTCTTGATCTCAGCTTCAGGGTCCTGAGTTCTGGCCCGGCATTGGGCTCCACGCTGGGTGTGGAGCCTACGTAAAAAGAAAAAAAAAAAAACAATTACATTTAAGGAACGCCTGGCTGCTTCAGTCAGAAGAGCGTGCGACTCTTGATCTTGGGGTTGTGAATTTGAGCCCCATGTTGGGTGTAGAGATTGCTTAAGAAAATTTGTTTTAGGAAGATTTATTTATTTATTTGAGAGAGAGCGAGAGAAAGGCCAGTGGAGGAGGGGCGGAGGGAGAGGGTGACAAGCAGACCCCCCGCTGAGCAGAGAGCTCTATGCGGGGCTCGATCCCAGGGCCCCTGGGATCATGACCTGAGCCGAAATCAAGTTTGTCGCTTAACTGACTGAGCCACCCAGGTACCCCTAAAATTTTTTTTATTTAAATGTTTTATATAACCCAATTAAATATTTTTGATATGTAATCAGTATAAGAATTACGAATAGGATATTTTACATTCTTTTTTCACAAGATTAAAAAAATAAATCTTCCAAAGCCAATGTATTTATTGTTCACATGGCATTTCTTTTTTTTTTTTTTAAAGGTTTTCTTTTTTTTTTTTTAAGATTTTATTTATTTGAGAGAGAGAATGAGAGATACAGAGCATGAGAGGGAAGAGGGTCAGAGGGAGAAGCAGACTCCCCGCCGAGCAGGGAGCCCGATGCGGGACTCGATCCCGGGACTCCAGGATCATGACCTGAGCCGAAGGCAGTCGCTTAACCAACTGAGCCACCCAGGCGCCCTCACATGGCATTTCTTAATTCAGATGCAAAATTTCACTGGCATACTTGATCTATATTTAGATTTTATAGAATGTGCAGTTGGAAAAGTAGATTCACACACCAAGTTGTTCCAAACATACTGAAGCATTTTCTAATAAATGAATCAAGCGTCACTTTAAAATTAAATTAATTCTGATTAGAATAAATGTAAAATGTAGTTTCTCAGTCACCCTGGTCACATCTCAAGTACTCAGTAGCTCTGAGTGAGGCCAGCAGGGGCCCCAGAACCTGCCCTCGGCCAAGGACATGGGGGTGGTGGCAGGAGGTCTGCCAGGAGTTGGTGCTCTTAGGGCTGGGGACCTCAGGCTGGGCTGCAGATTAAATTTGTCTAATAGGCCCAGGGGAGCCACTGAAAGCTTTGGAGCTCAACGGTGATACCATGAAAGGTCTTGAGGAGGGCAGGCATGGCGCCTGCCTGAGGGCCAGACTGAAGTGGAGCCGGTTGGAGCGGGAGCCTGGTGAGGAGCAGGTTGTGGAAATCCAAGGGCCAGCAAGAGTTGTGAAAACAAAGGGCCAGGCACTTGCCCAGCAGAGCCTGGTGCCCAGAGGGTGTGCAGGAAGCGGTGCTGCACTTGAAGCCTGGGAAGGTGGAAGAGAAGAAGCTAGGGGCCTATTCCCAGGCTGGCTGGGGCCTGGGACTGCGGCGCTGGAGATGGGAGGTGTGGGCAGGGGATGGTGGAACTGGGGAGAGAATGTGCATCTGCCTCGTCCCAGGGCTTGGCCTGGGTGGGGTAGGCAGTGAAATGAAAGCAAAGATTTTACTGCATATCTACTAGACTTTTCCAATCCTAAATTATTTTTAAAATATTTTCTGGGGATTGGCAAGATGTAGTCCAGAGGGGGATGGAATTTTCACTTCTTTTTTTTTTTTTTAAGATTTTATTTATTTGAGAGAGCACGTGAGAGCAGGGTGGAGGGGAGCAGAGGGAGGGGGAGAAGCAGGGAGCCCAATCCCAGATCCCAGGACCCTGGGATCATGACCTGAGCTGATGGCAGATGCTTAACCAACTGAGCCACCCAGGTGCCCCTTCACTTCTTTTATATAACTTCACTCCATTATGTAGTAGTATGCTTACTGTGGAAAATTTGAAATGCACCAACAAATAGAAGGATGGGACCCCCCCACCTGCTGCCCTCCCCCCCAATCTGGGTGCTTGGAACCATGAGCATTTGGGGGCATGTCCTATTATGCATCATTACGAAAATTACATGTCATCCATATTTACTCTTTTTAGTAAATTTAAATTTAGTCTTTTGCATTTTTTTCTCCATTTTATGATAAAAAATCTTTTTAGTAACTTTGAAGTGGTTCAATATCATATACCATAAAATTCACTCAAATGGTAATTCATGATTTTTAGTAAGTTTACCAAGTTGGACAATGAAATGGTGAAAAATTTTTTTTCTGTTTCTGAGCAGCCCCTAATCAGATCCCCATGCTGGGAAGACAGGCCTGCTTATTTATTTATTTGTTTAATTCCAGTACAGTTAATATACAGCGTTATACTAGTTTTAGGTATACAACATAGCGATTCAGCAATTCTGTACTCCGTTCTCATCATGATAAGTGCCCTCTTAATCCCGTTTACCCATGCCCTTCCCCCCCAACCTCCCCTCCAGTAACCATCCGTGTGTTCCCTGTAGCTAAGAGCCTGGTTTTTTGTCTTTCTTTTCTCTGTTGGTTTTGTTTCTTAAATTCCACATACGAATGAAATCATTCAGTGTTTGTCTTTCTCTGACTTATTTTGCTTAGCGTGATACCCTCTATATCCATCCATGTTGTTGCAAGTGATGAGATTTCATTCTTTTTGGCTAATATTTTCGTGTGTGTGTGTGTGTGTGTGTGTGTGTGTGTGTGTGTGTGTGTGACTTCGTCTTTATCCATTCATCTGGATAGACACTTAGGTTGCTTCTATATTTTGACATTATAAATGCTGCTATAGACAGAGAGACACATATATTTTTTTTGAATTAGTGTTTTCGTATTCTTTGGGTAAGTAGTAGTGGAATTACTGTGTTACATGGTAATTCTACTTTTAATTTTTTGAGGAAGAATGGTGAAAAACTTTAAACATACAGAGTTGTTTGAAGTAGTTGAAGAACTGCATAGTAAGCATCCATGTATCCACACCTAAATTCTATAATGACTGTTTAGTTATATGCGCTTTTTCATGATCTACCTCTTTTGTTCCTTCATCTATCATTCAAATTTGTGTGTGTGTGTGTTTAAAACGATCCAGTTGTTTTTAATATGGAATTTTTTTCTTGAGGTGCAGTTCACAAAACATACAGTTAACTATGGTAAAGCGAATGCTTTGGTGTTATTTTGTATACTCACGATGTTGTACAAACCATATTTCATCACCCATAAAAGCTCCCTGTACGCATTAACTGATCACTCCCCACTATCCCTAACCTCCTTCCTTGGTAACCGGATCTGCCCTCTGTCTTGTCAGGTTGGCCTATCCTGGAAATACCGTGTAAAAGGGGTAGTATAGCTTTCGTGCCCACCTCTTTCACCCGGCAGAGTGCTGTTGAGGTTCATCTGGGCTGGAGCCTGGATACAACAGCACTTCGTCCTTTTTATGGCTGTTAGCAATTCTATGGGTAAACCACAACCTGCTTGTTCTTTCATCAGCTCATGTGTATTTGGATTGTTTCCAGCTTTTGGCTCTAATGAATACAACTGCTATAAACGCTCATGTACGAGTTTCTGTGTCGACCTGTGTTTTCATTTCTTTTGGGTACGTACATAGGAGTGGAATTGCTGGGCTCTATGAGGACTCTGTTTAACTTTTGGAGGAGTTGCCAAACTGTTTCCACGGTGGCTGTACCAATTTACATTTCCATCTGCAACGCCTGAGGCTTCCAGTTTGTCCACATCCTCACCAGCACTTACTATTTCAGCCTTTTTGATTAGAGCCCTCCTAGTGTGTGTGAAGGAGTAGCTCCTTGTGGCTTTGATTTGCATTTCCCTAATGAGTGATGATGGTGAGCATCTTTTCATGTGCTTGTTGGCCCTTTGTATATTTTCTTTGGAGAACTGTCTGTTCAAGTTCTTTGCCCAGTTTTTTTTAAATTTCTTTTTTAAGATTTTAAAATAATCTCTGCACCCAACTTGGGGCTCAAACTCATGACCCCAAGATCAAGAGTCATGTGCTCTACCAACTGAGCCAGCCAGGCGCCCCACTTCGCCCATTTTTTAATTGGATTGTTTGTCTTTTCGTCAATTCAGTCTAGTTGGGATCAAACATAGTTACTAATTTTATATTTGGCTTTTCTTTTTGCTGAACGTGTAACATTAGCTTTTTCTAAGTGACTAAAGACTCTTGAAACATGGGAAGGGTGTTTTATGAAATCACAGGTCTGCTCATTTTCACTTTGGCTGTCCTGGGTGCCCAGGCCTTGCCTGAGCAGTGGGGTGGGAGCACATGGTGATTAGGGTGGCCACTGCTCAGGCCTGACTCTGCTCCCTGCAGAAGTCCCCAGCATGCAGGACGTGCACATCAGTTCCAGGGATCCCCGGATGTCTTTGGGCCCTCGGGTGGCCCCCACCTCAGGTGAGAAGCTCAGTGGAAGCCCCCAACCCGGAGCCCAGGAGATGGAGGTTGAAGGCGGGGCAGGTGGTTTAGGGGGGATGGAGAAGGTAGGTCTGGTGTGGACAGATGAAGATGAACAGCCAGGTGGAGACCGCTGGTATCTTTTCCTTCTTTCTAGATTCCAGAGACCAGTGGTGGCTCCCCCAGGAGCAACCCTCAGTCCAGGGTAATCCCAGAGGAGCCCAGGGCCTTCACCTGCCAGGCCTAGCTCCCTCTCTGCCGCGGTCCCCACAATGGCAGCCCCTGTGGTCTGGCTTGGCACCTCAAGACTGCAGACAGAGCCCCTATGGGTGCTGTCCTGACGGCCACACCATATCTCTTGGGCCGCAGTGGCAGGGCTGCCCTGGAACCTCATGTCAGCAGAGCAGGTAGGGGCCTCTTCTTTACCAGGTCAGAGAGGAAAAAGTGTGTGTGTTGGGGGGGGTATCTGAGGGACAGGTCCACGACTCTGCGCAGGGAGGGGGTGGAGGTGGGGTTTGCAGAGCTCAGGACTGGGACTCTGGAGCTGTCTTCGGGCTTCCCCGCTTGTGCCATCTTGGGGACTCTGCTTCCTGTCGCTGATCTTCCTAATGTGCAGGGTGGGGGTAAAAATCTCCACTCCTGCTATAGAAGTCGGCCTGTGGAGGTGTAGCCTGAGGCTCTGGGAAGGCACATGCGACATCATTCTAGCTTTCAGATCCAAACCAGTCTGCCAGTCTCTCTGGGGCTGGGATGCTCAGAGCCCAGACTTTGGGGCCAGCAGCCTGGGAGCTGGGCAGGATTCTCAGCTCAGTCACTTACCAGCCGCGTGCTGGGTGATGGGGGCAAGTTCCTTAACTCCTCTGATCTTGGCTTCCTCTGCTGAGATGTGGGAACTGTGACAGCCCCCGGCTGGGGTTGCTGTGAGGACGGAACAGTCCCATGGTGCCTGGGGCGTGGAAGGTGCTCTGATGCGTTCTTCCTTCACCTTCCTTCCCCACTCCTGGCCGATGGAGCTGTGATTTTGTAAAGCCTCCCTGGGGACCCGCAATGTGGGCAGGTTCAGTGAGTCTCCACCTTGGTTTTGGGGGTCGGGGGGAGTTGAGGATCCGCCAGGTATCAGGGTGGCGGCTCTGCCTGCTGGGTTTCTGCTGCCTCCGTGGCAGCCGCTGGGCAGTCGTGGGACGTGGCAGAGCCTCAGCACGCGGAACGGTCGGGCCCGGGTGTGGGGACATGCTGTCTCCCGTGTGGGTCCTCAGCTGATCGGCCCCCAGCACGGGCAGCTTCAGAGCCTGGGTCCCGGGATGCTGGGGGGGGTCAGGCATCAGGGCTGGGTGGTGAGCAGACAGCCGTGTGACGCCTGTCTAGGTACGGGTGCTGCCCCGACGGGGTGTCTGTGGCTGAGGGGCCCCAGCACGCCGGCTGCGCAGGGTCTTACAGCAGTGACAACGCCAGGCGAAGGCCGGGGTCAAGAGCAGTGGCTTCCTCGGTAAGTGCTGGTCAAACGGGGGGTGGGGGGTGGGAATCCAGCCCCCGAGCCTGCTCAGCGCCACTGTGACCCTGGCTCTTTGTAACTTGGGCTTGGGAGAAAGGAGGTCCCTGCCGGCTGCTGGCCCACAGGGCGTCTGAGACGGGCCTGGGCTGGAGACGGGGTGGCGTGTGCAGGGGGCTTCGTCTGACCTTCCCCAGGCCTCTGAGCTCCCCTGGGGCTGGGGTTCTGCATCATGGGCTCCTAACCCTGCCCCTCCCTCTTCCTGTCCTCCTTCCCCAGGCTCCCATGGCCCGCCGGCCCCAGGCTCAGCAAAACGAGCCCCCTGAGTGCCGGGGCTCCCAGTTCGGCTGCTGCTATGACGGAGTGGCCTCTGCGGCTGGCCCTCTTGGGGAAGGCTGCGGGGGCCAGCCTGGCTACGGTGAGTGGATGTCCCGGCATGCTTCCTGGTGAGTGGGCTCCGGCCCCCCTTCCCCCTCCCCCGCCTCCACCAAGCCCCCACCTGGAGCTTCCTACTAGCTCAGTGATTCATTCATTTCTTCAGATGTTTACTGTTCACTTACTAGGCGCCAGGTCCGAGGATGGGGGCCATGTTGTTCTCGTTCCCAGCAGTTTGCCCTTGAGACCACCTGCCTGCTTGTGGGAGGCAGGGAGAGCTGGGGCAGGGTCCCCACAGAGAAGGAGGGCTTGTCCTGCCCCCCACCCCCCCCAGGGCTCAGCACCCTCTAGAGGCAGAGATGGAATGGTGGTCGGTGCCAGGATGGACAGGGGTGTCCCCACCTTGCCTGGGATGAGTCCTGGAGGGAGGTCGCCGAGGCCGGAGCATTTGTGGGCGGCACTGCCAGGGACTATCACGGGGACCTCAAAAGCCAGATGGGCTGGTGGTCAGGGTCTGCAGGAGGCTGGGACCCTGGGGGGGCTTTAAGCAGGGGCCAGCCACGTTCACGCAGAGAGGTAGAGCGGCCGTGCTGGGGAGGTGGGCGGTTAGAACAGGCAGGCTGGGGGCAGCTGCAGGTGGGCTCGAGGCTGGTGAGGGTTCCTGGGAACAAAAGGTGGGTCCCTCACTGGGCACCTTCACAGATGTTCCTGGGAGCCGAGGGCTGGGTTCTTATGAGCCAAGCCCTTGGGCTGCTCTGTGCGTGCACTCTCGGGACCTGGGTCAGGCATGGGGAGGGGAGGGGCATGAGGGGGCCAGTGCAGGTTGCTCATGGCCCTGACCTTCTGGAGGGCTGTAGTTCTGTGGGTGGAGCCCAGGTAGGTCTGGGCAGGGAGCAGACTCTGCCCCCAGGGCCAGGTCAGGGGTCTGGGCAGGGGTGTAGATGTGCTCTGTGAGCTGGGAAGGGCCTGGCTCCTAAGTCCGAGGCGGAGGGGATGGTGGGCCTTTGTTGGCAGGACTCTGCTGGGCAGCGTCCTCGGCTTGATGACACGCACCCTCCCTGTCCCCTCAGCCTACCCTGTGCGGTGCCTGCTGCCCAGCGCCCATGGCTCCTGCGCGGACTGGGCCGCCCGCTGGTACTTCGTCCCCTCTGTGGGCCAGTGTAACCGCTTCTGGTACGGCGGGTGCCATGGCAACGGCAATAACTTTGCCTCTGAGGAGGAGTGCATAAGCAGCTGCCGGGGGCCGCACGCTGGGCCCCGCCGGCCCGAGCCGGGGGCTTCTGGCCCGAGCGCCCGCGCAGACGGTGGCGGCAGCGGTCCCGGAGGCCAGCAGGAGGCCAGCTGGCCCAGGACGGGGGCCACAGTCCCGACGAAGCTCTTGCCTTCCGGTGGCCTCGGGTGGCGAGAAGACCAAGAGCTTGGGTCAAGGAAGGAGTCCCACACGCAGGCGTTTGGAGAACGGCCCTGGGGCGCGGAGCTCGGGCCCCGAGTCCCTGGCCTGGGTGGAGATGCCCGGCGACCAGTGCCGCCCTCCCACAGCTCCCCCTACAGGTGAGGCCTACCTTCCCTGGGTCAGGGGCTGCACCTGTCGGAGCTAAAACCCTGAGGTCCCCAGGCCCTCCCTCCCCATCCCTAACCTCAAGTCCTCCAAACAGCCCTGCCTGGAGGGCCTCGGTCCTGTCGTTGTACACATGGGGAAGCTGGCATTGGAGACAGGAGACTTGCCAGTAGATGGTGCTTCCATCTTGGTCAGACCTTGCCCGTACACCCCGGGCCTGTCTAGTCAGAAAAGCTTGCAGGCTTCGTGACCTTTGGCAAGTCCTCCAGCTTCTCCAAGCCTCAGTTTCTTGACCTATAAAATGGTGATATTCTCTCTTAGATTTAGTTTGGGTTCCACAGCCTTGGGACTGAGTCATGAGAACTTTGGGGAGAGTAAAAACAAAATAAATAAAACTTTGAATTCCAAAGGGGTCAAGCATGTGGTTTAGTTCCCCACATGGACCTGTCGTGAGCAATCTGTCCTGGCCCCTCCATGCCCTGGGCTTTGCGCCTACCCTGCTGCTGTCACAGGACCAGGCTGAGGTCACAACGTCCAAGGGCATGTGGGGAGGATGGAGAGGGGGGATTCCCAAGGCCACGGGCTTCTGGAGCTGACCCCGAAAGTGCCAGACAGGATGGGCAGCCAGCTGTCTGTGGTGGAACACTGATGAAGGGGAGTCCCCAGTCCTGGCACTCAAGCCAGCAGTGCGGGTCCTCACCAGCCCCCCCCGCCAGGGTCAGCTTGGCAGGCCCGGAGCCGTCCCTGGTGCAGGCCCCCCGGGGGCAGTTGGTGCAGCTCCTCTGCCAAGATGACACGTCCCTGGAGCCCCACGCCAGGTGGCAGAAAGACGGGCAGCCCATCTCCTCCGACAGGTATGTGTATGGCAGCTCCCTGATGTCCCCTGGGATGGGAGCATGCATGCAGGGCTGCAGTCCCCTCTGGTAGGAGCACCGGGGCCGGAGGCGGGCTGGGCTTACTGTCCTCAGGAGCCCAGAGCTCAGGCCCCCACCTTCTCAGGCACAAGCCGCAGCCTGATGGCTCCCTGGTCATCAGTCCCCTGTGGGCAGAGGATGCTGGCATCTACAGCTGTGGCAGCAGCCGGCCAGGCCGTGACTCTCAGAAGATCCAGCTTCGTGTCACAGGTCTCTGCCCCGGGGATTCCCATGGGCCCCAGGCGGGAGGCCCTGGCTGGGAGGCCTGAGCCCGGTGCTCCCACACTGGAGGGGCCCTTCCTGCTGGCAGGGACTGTGTGCTCCGCGAGGGCCGAGGTGGAGGTCTTGCCCCTTGTGGCGCTCATTTCTCCACATGTCCCTGGCCAGCTTCATGGCCCCCCCCCTCCTTCCACCACATTCTTCCCACAGCTCACCCCTTCTCCTGGCCTCATGACAGGGGCTGATGTGGCCGTGCTGTCTGCGGCTGAGCCAAGGCACTTCCCTCAGACCAGGGACCCAGCCCAGGGCCACAGTCCTCGGGACTCCAGCCTAGTGGGGGACAGAGGAAGCCTAGGGGCCGTCTCCTCCTTGCAGCCTTGGCCCACGACCAGGTAAGAGTGCAGCAGTGCTGTCCCGCTCTCAGCCGACCCCCTGGAGGGCCGGGGGTGATAGGGGTCTCAGTGGTGAAAGGAGGGGAGGGGAGGTGAGTCACAGCGCTCTGCCCGGTGAGGACAAGAGAAACACGGCTCCCTGAGCACAGCCTCTTAGGAGGAAGGGGAGCCCTCCACCCCTCCCCAAACTGTTGAGGATGGCCCAAGGCCCAGGACACAGGGGCTGAGGGAAGGGAAACACACCGGGAGTTAGAGGGCCTGCGAAGGCCTTGAAGGAAGTTTATAGAGGCGTTGCGGAGGCCTGGAGGGCACAAGTCAAGGACCGAGTAGCAGAGGTGCAGGGCAGGGAGGTGACAGTCAAGATTCTGGGGCAGTGGGGGCGGGCAGTGGGGAAGGCAAGAAAGCCCCAGGTGATTGGTGACGGTGTCCTGCCCAGAACAAAGCAGCTCTGTTAGGAAGCTGAATCGGGCAGGAGAGAAGGGGCCCATGGGCTTGTGCAGAGGGCCCCCCTCATGGCTGTGGGGTGTTTGTTCTGCAGGCTGCTTCTGGACAGGAACCAGCCTGGGGTGGTGGACGCCCAACCAGGCCAGCGGATCCGGTTGACCTGCCGTGCTGAGGGCTTCCCGCCCCCAGCCATTGAGTGGCAGAGAGACGGGCAGCCCCTCTCCTCCCCCAGGTTTGTGTTCAGCTCCAGGCCAACCCTGTGCAGGCCTCGGGGGAGGGAGCTGCCAGGCGCCACCCCTGGTCAGTCCTGAGCAGGATTCCACCGGCTCGCTAGAGATGCTGCAGCCGGGCAGTAGGGCTCCTGGGGCAAACCAACATTTGGGTCTCTGGGTCTTTCCAGTGTGGTTAGTGGACAGAAGTAATGGGCCAGCTAAGGAGGGCTGATGGCTGAGGGACAAAACGGAGGCAGACCCATTTCTGGCTGTAATCATAACAGCTGACATTTCCTGTACTCGTTACGAGCCTGAGGCTTGTTCCCCATCGTGCAGTCTGCACAAGGGCCACGTTGCAGTAGGTTGCTATCTTACCCCGCTTTACACACAGGAGCTTAACACCACATAGCTCCTAAGCGGCAGAACCGAGATCTGAGCCCGCTGAATGAGTAGAGCAAGAACTAGAAACCCACACCGGAATTATTTTGTATCTGGAAGCTTGAAATGAGTTTTTTATTGCCAGGCTTAAAGGTCAGGCCCCTCCCAGTAAATGAGTGTACCAGCAGCTGGAGGACCTCAGGGCCTAGGGCCAGATGGCCCTTTGCTCAGACCCCATGGAACAGTAGGGGCCACTCAGCCCCTCCCCAGGGAAAGGAAGACCCTGCCAGCCCCCTGGGGATGGAGCCACCTGACTGTGCTTTGTTCCTAGACACCAGCTGCAGCCCGATGGCTCTCTGGTCATCAACCATGTGGTTGCGCAAGATGGTGGCTTCTATGCCTGTGTTGCTTTCAACGGGCGGGACCGAGACCAGAGATGGGTCCAGCTCAGAGTTCTGGGTAAGGTGGCAGTCCTGAGCGGAAGGTGACCTCTGAGGTCAGGTGGCACGGGTGGGGCAGGATTGGCGAGTGGCCGACAGTGCTTCCTCCTTGGGCCTAGGGGAGCTGACCATCACAGAGCTGCCCTCCACTATGATGGTGCCAGAAGGGGACACAGCCAGGCTGCTGTGTGTGGTGACAGGAGAAAGCGTAAACATCAGATGGTCCAGGTAAGGCTCTGTTCCACACAGGCCTGGCCCTCAGACCCTCACACCTGAGGCTGTGCAGCCCAGAGAGGCGGCCCACCTTTCTGCAAGGATATTGTGGTTCGCACCATTCATTCTTCAACTCCTGCCTCCAGGGGAGGGGGCCGCAGCACCCTCTTCCTGACACAGTGAGGCCCCAGAGGACTGTCTCTGTTGGCCGGGCTACACCAGGGTTTCTCAACCTTGGCACTATTGGTATCTCAAACTGGATAATTTTCTTTTTTAAGATTTTGAGAGAGAGCCCGAGCATACAAGTGTGGGGGTAGGGGACAGAGGCAGAGGGAGAAGCAGGCTCCACGCGGAGCAAGGAGCCCGATGCGGGGCTCAATCCCAGGACCCTGGGATCACGACCTGAGCCAAAGGCAGACGTTTAGCTGACTGAGCCACCCAGGCGCCCTGGACTGGATAATTCTTGATTGCCGGGGCTGTCCTGTGTATTGTAGGATGTTTGGCAGCATCCAGGCCATCTACCCACTAGATGCCAGTAGGATCTCCCTCCCAAGTCATGACAATTGACAATGTCTAGAGACGTCTCTTAATGTCCCCTGAGTGACACAATCTCCCTCAGGGGTTGAGAACCACCGGGCTATACTCAAGTTTGGGGACTTCAGTGGTCTTTTACCCCAGATCAGTTGCTCTTTTACTCATTCTATCAGCAAACACTTTTTTGCCACCTTCTTCCTTGCCATGTGTCAGGAATAGCCTGGGCTCTGGGGATCTTGGTGTAATCTGAGCCCGCAGATACTCCCAGGCAGGAGATGGCCCCGTGTCCCCTGGGGTCCAGAGGTTTGCCCTCAATGCTGTGTGTGCCCAGAGGACGGAGGCTGCCTCCTCTCTGGGGGAATTCAGGAAGGACTGGCCACACATGTGACTTTGGCTGGGCCTTGAAGGCTGAGGAGGGGAAGGCTGTCCTTGACCGAGCCTCAAAGGTGAGTATAAGAGATGTCAAGACGGGAAGGGTCCTGCGCACAGGAGTAGGGAGGGCGGCCAGAAGCTTCTGTAGGCTTCTGAGCAGCTGTGCTCTGTGCAGACCTGCCCTGATCAGGTCCAGCCTCTGATGATTCTAGCAGGCCTGTATCTTCCAGTTTTGCCTCTCCTTGATCTTCCTAGCAGCAAACACGCTCAGGACTCCCCTCTTCAAAGCACAACAAAAGATACCCTCTTCTGACCCTGCATGTCCCTGCAGACCCTGGCCTCATCTGGAGTCTCCCCCTCACAGCGGCTCACATCCATCCCCACTCCAGAGATACTGCCCTGTTCCTAAATTCTCTGGACAAATCACAGTTCCCACACGACCTGCAGTGTCCTTCCACTGACAGCTTGCACCTCCCCACATGCTCCCTCCCCTTGGCTCCAGGAAACTACTGTCGTCTGGCCTTCTTCCTCTGGCCTGGCCCTCTTCCTCTGGCTGCTGCTTGTTTTCCTGGCTGGCTCATCTTCTCACACCAATCCCTTGAGAGGCTGGTGCACCTTAGGGGCTGTGCTTGGTCCCTGGTCTAACTTCACCTTGGGTAACCTTGTTGGCATGTGGTTTCCAGGATCATCCAGTGCTGATACACTATCTGGGTCTAGACCTCAAATCCAATGCCACCTGGTATCTTGTGGGCACCCAAAATGTAAAATGGTGGACAAGAGCATTCACCGTTCAGCCCTCTTCCCCACTCTGGATCTCCCCATGGTGGAGGGGCACCACTCTTACCCAGTAACCCAAGCCCCGAACCTCTGTCATCCTTCGTGTCTTCTCCCGACCTCGCACGTCTGGCCCTCACCCATGTGTGCACTTCTGCCGTGGCCACTTTCCTGCTCTCTGCTTTCAGGCTCGTCCTCGCCCCAGTCGGCAAGCCTTTCCAAGCACAGATACTTGGTCAGTCCTGCTTCGCTCACACCCCTCCATTCCCCCCAGGGTCCAGGCCAAACTCTGTCTAGGCTGTGTCCACTTCCCTCCCTGCTCTGACCATGGCCTCCCTTTGAGCTCACGAGCCCCCTCGTTCTCCCTTTCACCGGCCAACTGTTCCTCCTCATCCTCAGGTCAGGGCTCAGCTAGGTCACCCTCAGGGAAGGCGCCCCTAAGCACCTGTACCCCAGCTATGCCCTCAAGGCAGGGCGCACTTATGTCCTTCACCTAGCACAGGGCCTGGCACCTCATGGCTGCTTGAGAGACCTTTGTTGATGAAAAGAGAGCGGGGTTCCTTTGTGGATTAAAAGGCAAATTCACAATAATTTAGATCAGTGTGCTCAGTTGGGGTGAGTTCACCTCACTTCTGAGTTATTTTGCTCTGAGAATGTTCTTTTTGGCACCCTGCCCCATCTCTTTCTCGAGGTGAGGGTCATCTGTCCACAATGATTACCTCCTCCCTTTGTCTCCTGGGCCTGGCCGGCTCTCTCACAGTCCTCTCCCCTCCAGGAACGGGCTGCCGGTGCGGGCTGATGGGCATCGCATCCACCAATCCCCAGATGGCACGCTGCTGATCCACAACCTGCAGGCCAGAGATGAGGGCTCCTACACGTGCAGTGCCTACCGTGGAAGCCAGGCAGTGAGCCGCAGCACCGAGGTGAAGCTGGTCCCACCGGGTAAGAGACCTAGCCCAGGGACTTGTGCCCCAGAGCTGGCTTTGTGCTGCACAGGGCGGGGGAGGGCAGGCTCTGCGGGCTGGGGGGGACCCTAGCCTGTGTCCTGGCTCACTCTGCCAGTTCCTGGTAGTGTCACCCGTGGCAAGGGGCTCAACCTTCCTGAACCTCTCCCCTTCCATGTGCAGCAGGCGACTCCAGCGCCTGAGGGAGCTCTGGTGAGGGTGAAGGAGATGGTGCAGATGATGGGCATCTGGTAACAGCTTAATAGGCATTATCAAATATTATTTAGACTTACTAATTTTGAAAAATAGGATTGACTGGAATTTCATTATAATCCTTATGGCAGATAGACTGTTAAATGTGTCCATTCTAATCAAGGTGGCAAAAAAACGATCCTATGATTGAAAAGTGCCTTTGACCATATAACCCAGAAAGGGAAGGGCAGGGATTAGTATCACCATCGTACAAATGAGACAGATATCCAGACACCTTATGTGATGTTTCTTCAAGTCACACAGCAAGTGAGGGGCTAAGTTGGGATTAGACCCTAGTCCTCATATTTAATATTCTTTTCCTTAAACGACTGTAGCTGTAACTGGGCAGAATTTTACTTGCATTATTCAGTAGTTTATGTTCTTCAGCTCTTGCTCAGAGTTACAGATCAGTGAACCTAAGGACCATGTTGTAAAACAATTAGTTTCGTACCACTAAGAAAAAAATGCCGCTAAAACGGTTAAATGACACTATGCTAAGACACGATCAATTCAGATGCAGTCCAATTGGAGAGGTGTTAAAATGGGAAAAACAGCGCATCTCAGAATTGTTAAGATAGACATGAGCTCTATCGTCAAAGAGGCCAGAGGGCAAGGGGGAGTGGGAGGCCTGCCCTCTGCCCAGCCTGCTCTTTCATGTGTCCTTGGTGCAGGCTGACTGACCAGTAGGGCAGTGCCCCGGGCCGAGCTGCCGGTTCTCGAGGCCTGAAGCAGACTTTTCAGGACGACCTCTCCTGTGCTGTCTGCCTGGATGCTCATGGCGGTCAGGGCCGCAGCACGCACCAGGAGAGCTGCTATACCAGGGGTACGGGGCCTGCTACGCTGAGGGTGGGAAGAGGCCAGCACTAGAGGTTGAAGGTCCATGGTAGAAATGTCGCTTAGTGAATCAGACTGACACGTAGGCTTCCGGTTTCTGAGCTCCTTAGGATAGCCATAGGACTCGAGTCCCCGGGGCCCCGCGCAGTGCTCAGCATCACTAAGTGCTCAGGCTTGGTGACTGCAGGAGGGCATTACACCTTCGCAAAAGCACTAGACCACCGGGGCCATTTTTCCCCTCCGCCCTGCCCAGCAGATTGATCTCTTGTCTACAACCAGATTTACAAACCAGAATGCAGATTTGGGTGAGAGAGCTGTCAGGGGACCCAGGTGTTCATGTTTGTGACTCGTTGTAGACACGTCTGCTTGGGAAGCCAAATTAGAAACTTGTCTGATGGCAGAGTCTGGTGGGGCTCTTGCTTGCGTGGTCGCACACTGAAATGTCTGATGTGACCTGCCTCGTGGACAGGACGCCTTTCTCCTGCCCTCTGCTGGATGAGTGTTGCTCATCTCCTATTTTGTGGGCACCTTTCTTGACTAGAAGCTGTCTCGCCCCTCCCTTTGTATTCATTCTTTTGATTATGCTTTTTGTAGGGTCTCACTGCTTGAGGCTGCCTCACTTTGCCCCATTTGTGGTCTGGTGGCATACTGGAATTGGTGTTAGTGTCCAGGTAGCGGGCTTTAAGCTAGTCATGCTCTGGTGTAAGGGACATGCTTCCAAACTTCTTGCCTAAAAGACCGGGGTGAGAAACGGAAAATACTGTAGCAATAAAACACAGGGGCTCATGCACTTTTTCTGAATGAGGGAATGAGGGGCTATGAAGCAAAACATGGTCAAGCACTCAAATTTTAGCCACAGTCACTGTGTGCCCAAGGTGCTATGCCAATCTCCATTTCCGGTGAGGAAGCACAGGCAGAGAGCTGAAGTAACTGGCCAAAGTCACCCAGCTGGGAAGCAGGAGAGCCAGGACTGAGCTCCGGCAGTCTGGCTCCAGAGCTGGTGTGGTTAACCACTGTGCTGGGCACCTAGCCTCTGGGCCCTTCACGGGCCCCGGGCTGCAACTGCTGAGAGAAAGTCCTTATCGAAGTTACTGATTTTTTAAAACAATATGCATAAATGGCTTGATATTTATATAAATGTAGGTATGGTTGGCCCCTGAGCAACGCCAGCGATTAGGGGTACCGACCCTCGGTGCAGTCAAAAATCCACATAGTACACTGACTCCCAAAAACTTTGCTAATAGCCTGTTGACCAAAGCCCTCCTGATAACACAGCACATATTGTATGTGTATTATATACTGTATTCTTACAGCAAAGAAAGCTAGACAAAATGTTAAAATAAGGAAAATGCATTTACAATACTGTACAGTATCTAGTGAAAAAAATCATGCGGACCCGCATAATTCAAACCCATGTTGTTTAAGGGTCAGCTGTAGTTAGTACTCTCATTATACTGATATTCCTAACCTGTAGAGAATCAGGCACTAAGACTACTGAGGTATAATCTTTTTTGTTGTATTTTGGGAGGAAGGAGGGGGAGAGGAGATGAAGATAAGCCCCAGGAGGTCTGACTTAAGGGGAAGGTGCTATTCAGGCCTAAGTCCAGCTGAGTCACAAGAGCCCCTTCCAGAAAGAAAAGGGAAGTTAACTAGATGAGGCCACTTCAGTCCTAAGATGAAGCAGCGGAATAAAACACCCACAGGGATTTTTTTTTTTTTTTAATTTCTATGCCCACTGTGGGGCTTGAACTGCCGACCCTGAGATCAAGAGTCACTTGCTCTACAGACCCAGCCAGCCAGGCGCCCCTCTCACAGGGATTTTTAAGTTCCCGAAGCTCCTAGTACATTCAGAGGGGGCAGCAGCAAGCATTTTGTGCTTAGTGCAGTGTTAGGGCCATAGCTCATTAGGCTCTTGTCCTAACCGCCTTGCCTAATGCTCGCTTGCTCTCTCGGGGGGGGGGGCGGGGGGAGTGGGAAAATTGGGAAGATGGGGAATGAAGTGACTGAGGTAAACTGGGGCTACTGAAGGCACAAACCTTTTGAGGTTAGAGGAAATCAGCAGTGAGAGAAAGAGACAAGACAGCTCTGGCCCAACTCAAAATTTTACTTCGGGCTGATCCCCCCACCCTCCCTTCCCAATCCAGGGGCTAAGGCAATTGTCACTCAGCTCTTCAGGTCACAACAGCAAGGGAAGGGAGTTAACTTCAAGAGGTGTCACCATGTGTAGTCAGTGCCTGAGAGTCTGCCCTGGGCTGAGGCTGCAGGACCACTGCGTGCCCAGATGAGGCCCATGGCGGGGGCGGGGGTAGGAGATGCACACAGGTGATAAAAAAAAAGTACAGAGCAACTGTGCTTTTTGGGAATCTGGCAGTTCTGTTGCTTTCCTCTTAAGGCAAAGAAAGGGGAGGTGGGACTTTTCAGCCTCCACAGCTTCCTTACCCCTTTGTCTCTCCCCGGTTGTCTCCGCAGCACTGCCCGCCCAGCCCAGGGCCCTCGGCAGGGAGTGTGCAGATCAGCCTGAGCTGGCCAACTGTGATCTGATCCTGCAGGCCCAGCTCTGTGGCAATGAGTACTACTCCAGCTTCTGCTGTGCTAGCTGTTCCCGCGTCCGGCCTCACGCTCAGCCTGTCTGGCGGCAGGGATGAAGGCTAGCTGCAGCCCCAGTCCTGAAACAACTCCCGGTCCGTGGCCTCTGGCTGCCAACGGGCTCTACCCTTCAGAGAGAGAATGGGACTCTCGGCCCGCCGCGCCTCAGCAGCCGCCGGCACCACAGGTCGCTGGCACGAGGAGTCTGCTTGGATAAGCACACCCTTTACGGCTTCCCTCTATCATTTGTTATACAGGATCAATTCAATGGGTTCTAAAGCAAGCTACCAGGGTTCTCGATTCATTTAAAGCTGGGTGGGGAGGTGTGTGATGGTTTCAAAGTTAACATGTATCTCACACAGGGCACACTCGTTCCTGCCGTGTCGGGCAATTTTTCTCTGTTAGAACTCCCATCTCGTCTAGGGTCAAACAGTGGTTCACTGCTTTAGTCGTCAACCTCACCCTTCCAGGCAGTGTGGCAATCAATCAGCTTCAACTCCCACCTATATGTCCAGTTAATGGCATGTTTGTGAAAGCTCTTGCCAAAGAGGAATATGGCACATAACACTCAGTACAGGGATCTGGGATGGAGGAGCAGCAGCTCATGATGGGAGCATGCCAGAAGTGGGGGGGGGGGGGGGCTCCTTACTTTCCTCAGGAAGCTAGTGCCCGAAGCCCTCCTCCTGAGGCCAACATGCAGAGCCTGTTTATGAGGATCACCTCACCCCTGCATCAAGCTGACCTGCTATGTACAGTGACCAGCTGGGAGCCTCTCCTCCCCAAGCAGGAATCTGTGAGGCAGAACCAGACTATTAAAAACACGCATCAGCAGGATAAGGGAGCAAAGGAGGGGAAGGCAATACATTAACAACGAAGTGGTTTCAGAAATGGTTTGAGTAGGAAGAAGTCCTCCTCCATCTCTCAGAACCTCCAGTTCCTCGCTGCTAAACAAGAGGCCTGGATTCAATGAGCTTCCAGGTCCCCTTCCACTTTAACCTTCTACACATCCTCCAGAGGACTGGCTGGACCTAAGTGACAGGTTATTCTGGGACATAGGCATTACAGAGAAAGCTTTTACTACCAGCACACTGGCTGGAAAAGAGACAAACTGCATCATGGGTGAGTGATACTTCTTGGTCTACCTCTCATTCAACACAGGAAACATGGGTTAGGGGCAGAGGTGTTTTTATCTTTCCACTTAAAAAAATACAGAGGAGTATCTCCTTTCATTTACCGTGGCTGGTTTTGCTATACGAACTGGAAACTAAGGGCTACTTTCTCGGACTCCCCAGTTCTCGCCAACTGGCAACATCATTCAGAAGTAAGTCTGAGGTTAGCTAGCTCTTCTCAGAACTAGTGACAGAGTAGTGGGCTAAGTACAGGAGAGTAACACTCAAGCTAGACCAGTGGTTCTCAACCCTATTCCATATTGGGAACTTGAAAAACAAAAAAAAAACAACCTGGGGTCCTCCCCCAACCACTTTGATTTAATTGGCCTGGAGTATGGGCCAGCGTGAGGATTTTAAAAGTTCCCCAGGTGATTCTAGTATGTATCCAAGGCTCCAAGGCTGAGACTCACCGCTCCAGCAGGGCCTTTCAGAAGGTGAACCTTGGTTCCAGTGTATTTTCTGATGACTAGGCTGGGGGGGGGGGTGGTGCTGAGATTCTGTACCTCTAACTCAGCTCCTAGGTGCAGTCCATGCTCCTGTTCCAGACCACACTTTGAGCAGCAAGAATCTGACATCAGAGATATGCTTAGGATCAACCGAAGCCTAAAGTAGAAACACAAAAGTGAATTTTAAGAATATACTAGTCCTGGTGGGCAAAATAGATGAAGGGGATTAATCCAGAGGTACAATCTTCCAGTTATAAGTCACAGAGATGAAAAGTCTAACACAGGGAATATAGTCAATAATATTGTAATAGCATGTATGGTGACAGATGGTGACCACACTTATTGTGATGAGCACTGCGTAATGTATAGAATTGTTGGATCAATATGTTGTACACCTGAAACGATAACAGTGTATGCCAATTATACTTCAATAATAAAGAATATACTAGTCCCAATAAAAGATTTTCTAGCCACCAAACCAGAGTTCTGTAGCAGCAGCAGAACGGAGCAAGAACAGACCAAAAAGAACTAAAAGTAAACACACTTGCTAATAAAGAAAAGGGGAAAGACCAGCCCTTCATGGGCAAAAGCTTCTACCACGAACATTTATTTTTGTTAAAGCAGATTATAAATTCTCATCAGTACAAATATATATAACTTACATTTGATTGTAAGGCCAACGTTCAAAAGTAAGAATGAGATGGGACCTCACGTTGTTACCAGAGGTCAAGAGGCCGCCACTGGCAACGGGACGTTCTGATCACAAGTGGGGGGACAGATGCACACACAGCTAATAAAACTAGAATCTCCATCCCCACAAAACTCGTGGGGACAAAACCTAAAGGACAAAACAAGACCCACCAAGACCCACATGACAAACCAACACAGTAGCCTGCGCTCCCCATCAACGGACGTGATTCTGTCATTGTCACCTTAGTGTTAAGTAGAGGATTAACATAAACAGCAGTATATAAAAGAAAATGCATATTCTCTATATTTAGACTGATTCCATTAAAATAAAGACATTAGAATTTCATCACAGGTTTAAAACCAGGACAATACTGCTCTTTCATTTTCTTTAAAACTACAACCTAGTGACTGTATTGGTCATATGCATGATTGTTGCTGCAATGTGCTACTTACAATGAATGATACCAAATAAGCTAGGGACCCCATCTGCAACTCCCCACCCTTCCTCTCTCCGCTTCAATAGGCATCACTGATAAATCAATCTTATGTACAATTTCTTACAGCTAACCCTTTTACCTTTGGCAAGATTACTTACAACTCATAAAACTTTTTAATATTGAGAACTATTTAAAATATTCTAAATGCATAAAAATAAAGATTTTGGCTTTTTTTTGATATATATATTTATAATATTTATTCTTACTCAAAGTGGAAGCTCAACTTTGCCCCTAAAATATAGCTCTGTTGGGCAGCTGCTGATGTGCCCTCCTGGGAATTCTGGCGACATAGCCTGCCTCCCATCCCCAGCCCAAGCACAGGCCACCATGTTCTTGATCTCTAAGGCCAGTACTGAGAGGCGGCAGGTGAATGGCCTGAAAAACAAAGGGAGATTGTTTTGCTTCCCGTTGTGTTTTATATTCCAGTAAATGTGCTTTGAATACAGATTCCTGTTCAGATATTTCTGCCCCTCTGTTGCCAGAGATTTGTAAGGGGCTGAGGGAGTAGGAGGGGGACAGAGGGCAACATTTCCTTGACTTCTTTAGCCTAACTGCAAGACAACTCTTCTCTAGGAATGTTTTTTCCATTTTTTTCAAAATCACCTCTCCTAGCACTCTCTGCCTGGACATGCCTTGGGACCTTTGGGATTGGTGAAAAGTATACTGACTGGGAACACAAAGTTCCCTTTGCTCCTTTGACCTCTGCCCCTGCCCTTGCTAAGTACAGACAAAATACATAAGCCATAGAGACTGCTTAAAGTTCAATTTCAAACGTCTTCTGTAAGTCACTGGAGAAAGGATTGGTGGGAGAGGGGTTAGTACGCTGCTTGGACTTGCTTTCTAATGCAGCCCACTGGGCTTCGAAAGGATCCACTGGGCAGGTGCCTGCAGGAACCTCTGTGTGCTTATCTCCTGAGGCCAACCTGCCATCGTCTACACCATTGAAAGCTGCAGAACCATTGAGGTGCTGAGCAGGCGGCTTAAAGAAGGGACTGGCAGTAGCACTGCTCGTCTCATACTGTGGGAATGTCTGCTGCTTGACCAGGCTGGGAGACTGATGGGGGTGGGCGGCCTGAGGGTGGCCTGCAGTGCCAAACACGTTGGCTACCATCTGGGAGGGAGTGATGCCCACCACAGGCACATTAGGGGCTGGATAGGGCATCCCATTGGCCACAGGATAGGACTGGGCAGGGACAAAGGCTGGCTGCAGGGGTGGGACCACGCCCACTGGCACAGGCTGAGAGGTGAGGAATGCGTTCCCTTGGAAAGGCGGCGCTGGCTGGGTCATGGCAGTGGGTGGAGGAGGCTGGAGAACTGGCTGCAGAGGAGCAGCTGAGGCCTGGGGCTGCTGCGCCCGGACGCTCTTGGACACCTCTTCTAACCAGCGGTCAGCCTCAGAGGGAGTGCGTCTGTGACCAGCCTGCAAGAGACCTGGAGATGCAGCACCAGAAGATTGACCCCACTCGGTCCCTGGGAACGAACAAGAGGGAGAGAGACAAACGAATCAGAATCTTTAGGGGTTTCTTTTCTTTCCCGATAACCTTGGTTACCTGAATGAGCCTAACAGGTGGAACAAGTCCCTCAGTGGGATATTTTGTGGTTCTGGCCGGTGGGAGAAAAGTCTCTATTACCAGCCGAGGAGGGGTTGTTTTAGGACAAAGGGAACCTGTCAGACCATGCTGCTGTCTCAGCCATGCTGAGGAGCTGTCTAGATAGGGCTCGACTGCACAGAATGAAGGCAGCTGGCTGGCATCAGAAACCCTTTCCTACTGCTGTGGCTCCTCCATGGTACAGAAACCAGCTTGCACATGCTCTGAAGGGCCCAAGGTGATTCACCTTCTGCTCTAACAGAATAAAAAGAAAATAACCAGTAACTTGGCAATGTGCCTCGTGGCCCCCGTCTCGCTTCAAGACACGTTATCCTTCAGGTGAACTGCCTTCATTACTATTTAAAATTTGTTCCGATTTTATAGTTAACAAATGTTCACTATAGGAAAACTAGAAAGTATAGAAAAATATGAAGTACTTTTGGCAGCCCTTTCTGTAGGCCTGCCATCGTACGCGGGGTACCCCCTTGCTGCGGGCATGTCCACACATCTCCAAATTCAGTGGTTGACTCAGGGCAGGGCCCAGGAATCTGTATTTTATGAAAGCTCTAGGGGGTGATTCTGTTTCGTAGTCCTAAGAACTATCAAATCTAATCCCTTGAGTTCCTCTCCTTCACCATCCTCTCCTAATACTAGTGTATTTCCAGGGGGGAAACATACTGTTCCTGAAAGGATTTCTCCCTGGTTCCCACTCGGGTAAATGGTTGATTTCTTAATCGGCGTCACTCATCTGATCCCAGAATCCTCACCACCATCCATGGCCACCTTACCCGAATGTGTGGCTGCAATTCCCTTGTTAGCAGCATCAGGGGCATGGGCCCAGGGGTTGGTTTCACGCACAGGCATTGCTACGGGTGCTAGAGCAGTGTGGGCTGGCTTAGCAGCAAGCACATGGAAGGCTGAGTCAGTGCCATTAGCTACAATGGGAGCAGACAACACCGATGGAGTTAATGCATGCGGGGTGGACGGGCGACCCCCTGGAGCTGGGTCAGTCAGGCCAATGGGCGATACCGGTGGAACAGATAAGACAGAAAAGTTGGTGTTGGGATAACCATGCCCTCTTGCAGTGGGTACACAAACCTTTTGGCAAAAAGGGAATTAGAGGTTGTAATTAAAATAGCTATATTGATAAAAAAAAAAAAGTCAAATGACCATTCTAGGAAAATCTGTGTATAGGGGGAGAGGGAATGAAACCTAGAAAAACAATTTCCAATTAAGTTGAACAGAGCTGCTTTGTCTTACAAGCAGCGAAAATCTATTCTAGATATAGCTTAGCCTTTGGCATAATGATGTAGATAAAGCACTTCCTTCTCCTACCACTTTTCCAAAAGATAAAATTATGCCAACAATAACAATGGGTTAAATATAATGATCCCTTATGATCATTAATAGTACTTCAGCGTGCATCATCCTATTTAATTCTTTCAAAAAAGAGGGAAGTATACCATAAAGCTGGTATGCTCATACTATAAATGAGAAATCAAACTTGGAATATGTTTTCATTTGCTTAATAAATTTGTAATTCACTACAGAATTAATTTCATCTTTCTTTTTTGAAGTTTTTTTCCCCCTCAGGAATGGTCATAATATCTCAAAGTATTACTATTCTTTCCTCTCTCTTTATTAAAAAGCTCTTAACCCTTGCTCCTTTACTCCAGATATCTATTCCATCAGTTTCTATTCCTTAGTCCGGCTCTCTATCATATTTAGTTTGGAGCAGACAAGCAGGCACCTTCCCCTGCCCTTTGCTTTAATCACTCCCTCTTTAAGACTAGGCAACCATGCTTATGGCATTGGTACTATTTACCCCAGGCTTGTCTAAAAGCCTAGCTCACCCATAGACTGGGAGCCCTTTAAAGGCAGGGAAAGGACTATGTTCTTCCAGTTTTGTACATCCCATTGTAAATAGGCACAGAGGCAACAGAATGTAACAGACACGATATTCAGAAAGACCTGGGTTTAAATCCTGGCTGTGCATTTGGGCAATTTGCTCAATCTCTCTGAGCCTCATCTTCCTTATCTGTAATGCTTACCTCAAAG